CATCAAAATCATCCATCTAAGCTACAAATCTTGTCCACCATCTCATGTTGGTGAGTAATTGCATCATAACACTACATGCATGAACAAAGATTAGTCGAGGTTAGATGTAAAACACAACTGGTAACTTTAATTAGAGACAGAATATCTACTTTGATAAAAAAAGAAACGATCTAGTAGTAATGTATATCGATTTCATATCTCGAATTCACAGTACATCACGTACAAAAACACACATACACACGTTCACACACTCACATACACATTCCTTCATTCAATTGTTCAATATGTGATCCAGCTTCAAGAACATTAAATCATTCGAGGTGTTTATTTATTTTTCGTTTTTGTTTAAATTACATTCAAGTACCTTTTTTGTTTCTAACGGAATTACAAAACAAACAAACAAAACAGCACAAAACCGATGGTTGCGTTGCATTTTATTGTGAGCAGATATCCATTACAAATGTGTACAAATCTAGTCACACATATACAAATTTGTCTATCCATCAAACTTAATTGCTCATGTTTAGTGATGTAATTAAATGATCATAAATAAATTTGATTAGATAATAAAACATTTATGAGTCAATTGAAGCTAGACCATGATGGAATACCTGGAAGCATTGGATGGCTATTTCGACCTAGTAAGGGACTGCTCATCAGTATGCATCCATGATCCTGCCTCATGAGATTCGAATTGAGGATCTCTCACAGTCTTACGTGTGAACACTTAATCTCCAGACCATTAGGCTGGCATCCAATGATGTTTATGTCTAATTTCAACCAATACATAAAGTTGTGCCACCGTCCACTATTCTCTTCAGTGAGTGATTATCTCATAACAAACCTGGTTATACTCCACTGGTCACGGTTTCCACGTTTATCATGATGGTTTAGCTTCAAAGGACTCAGAAATTCAACTGTTGAATATATAATCTTTATAATTTATATATTGCGCTTAGTATTCCTTAATATTAATTGATTTTCTTTCTTACTTACGGAAACATGACCTTAGAATAGAAATTATTATTATTAAAGTAAAACTTTTTAATTTATGCATTGAAATGAAAATGTCTTGACTAAACCGTCACATCACATTAACACTGTTGAATACAGGCTCAGTGATCTAGAGGTTAAGTATTTGTGCGCGAGATTGACAGATCCCGAGTGAGAGTTTCGCGAGGCGGGATCGTGGATGCGCACTGCCACTGAGGGATTCCAAACTAGGGCGAAATGGCTGTCCAATGTTTCCAGGTTTTCCATAGTGGTTAAGCTTGAATTGACTCATGAATTCAACTATTTAATTTCAATGAATATTAATTTCTTACACGAATTATTGAGAAATATGAATGGTTATTTTAATAAGGGAATGTATATTTAAAGTATCAGTCAGGTTTCTTCAATAAACTGATCCCCTGGTCACGGTTTCCAGATTTATCATGATGGTCTAGATTTCATTGATTCATGATCACAACTATTTAAATGTAAACTCATTAGGAAACTATTTCCCTAACATTGACAGATTCTTTTTTTTTTCAAAACCAAATCTATTTACAGTTGGTTAAAAACAGACGATACTATTTAAGTTTAAGCACATCAAATTCTGATCATCATAATCCAGCATCAATGTCAACATCATCTACAGCAATTAATTCATCAACATCATATATTGGTTTCTATGGTGGCACTGAAATTATGATACATTGTCCATCGGAAGAAACATTGAATAAACGAAATACTAATGAAACAATAACAAATATGAACAAGAAATCATCATCATCATCATTAACAACAACAACACCACCAACAATTGTCATCATCTAACATACGAAAGAAACGATTAGAAACAAATAAATTCAATGAGAATAATTATTTATTAGGTAATAATGAAATGGTTATATTTAATTTTCATGATAGTTGGGATGGTTTAGAAAATGGTAGTGTTGATAGAGGATTAATACCGGATTTATTATTTTATACTTGTTTCTAAGAAAGAAAATAAAAAGATTTTTCATTTCATTTCAATTATTTCTAATAAACATGAACTTAATATGTTCCCCTTCATGTACATTAACTTTTTATTGGTCAATTTCATATTATTTGTTATATATGTGAAATACAATTGAAAGATTCTATGAATGATTGAAGCTTATATCTATGTAATTGTAACCTTCCATTCCTCATTTCCCTATTCTTTTCATATGATATTATACTCGAAATTCATATGAATACAACATAACTATTGCTCAATATGATTCCTTTCTAAAAAAAATTCGATATCCGGTGAAAACTACTTAAATGATTAGTTAGTAAGATAAATTTTCTAATGAAAAAAAAGAAACGAAGGACATGGATATTTCACAATTATTTTATATTATTAAATATCAGACATTACATCATCTATTGTTTCATCAAAAAGTCAAGCTTATTGATGATTTGGATAATAATAGATAATCAATAAACAATCATCTAATCATCATATATTGTTGTGATTGTGCTCAATAAAAAGTCATTATATATATGGTTGAAGATGTTGTGTGATATTCATCGTAGAGTATTTAGATCTATCCGCTATTTTCTTCTGCTTCTTCTTCTTCTTCTAAATCATGAATTCTACACGTCATCTTTTACTGCTTTATCTTTATTCGTTTATTCTTTAAACAATATTCCCGACCTAGTGGTTAAGTGCTCGTGCACGAGACTGACAGGCCCTTGGTTCGAATCCCACGAGGCATGGTTGTGGATGTGCGCACTGCCACAGAGGAGTTCTACAATAAGACGAAACGACAATCCAGTGCTTCTAGGTTTTCCATGGTGCTCTAGCCTCAAATGGACTCATGATCTCAACGATTGAAATTCCTATTTCTATTAAACATTTCTTCTTCAGCTATATTATTCATCATGTTATAATTTCCACTGCTATTGTGCTGTCAACGTGTATTAACACACATTCGTTTTATGTCCTAATATAATCAGGACGATAAGATCAACATAAACAGACAATTGTCGATAATTATAAAGATTAACGTATATTATCCACATACTGAACAAAGACAACATAAACGCCAAACAGTAAACCGCATTGACACACACAATCTCAACCAAAAACTTAACAATCTCCACAACCCCCATACTGATAATTAACATGTGCTCACTAGTGACTAGCTTCGTGAGGGAATTCTCGGAGTTCTAGTGAGAAGTCGTGACCAGTGGAGCTAATCCGTGTCGGGTAGAGACAGTTATCTGCCTCAGTACAATGGAAGGTGGTCGCGCAATTTCGTTGGATTGGTTGATGTTAGAGACTAACACCATTGGATGCCGGCTCACTGGTCTAATGGTTAAGTGCTCAGGCGCGAAGCCAGTAGGTCCTGGGTTCGAATCCCGCAGGGTGCGGGATCGTGGATGCGCACTGCTGAGGAGTCCCATACTAGGACGAAACGGCCGTCAAGTGCTTCCAGGTTTCCAACGGTGATCTAACACCAATTAATTCATGATCTCAACCAAAAAGTTAACAATCTCCACAACCCCCATACTGACAATAGTAAGAGTTTACCACTAACAAAAGCGTTAAAAGTAACTGTTCATACGCTATTTACTTAGTTAAGTTGCAAAGTTTTTTTAACATGGGACAACTGATATATTAGTGATGAATAGTCAGTCAGTCAGTCTGCAACAACGTGGAACACATAGAATGGACGTACCTGAGCACACCATTGCCAAGCAGTCATGTTATTCAGGGTGTCTAACCATTGGTTGTTATTATCATCTCGCGGATCCCAACTAGGTAGCCTACACCTACCAATATGGCTCAGTCCACTTGTCAGTGACTTCATGGATTTGTGCCATGTTTTGTTCTGGCCGCCCCTAGCTTTCTTCCAACCTACTCCTACACCATAAAACACCACACGTCGGGGCAGTCGGTGTTTGGACATACGTGACACGTGTCCTCATAATCTGAACACTTCTTGCCACGTATTGTTTAACAGAGAACCTTCAGATCATATAACAAGTGTAATACTTTCAAGCCCTTTAAATTGCTATCTAATGATAAAGTTCCGATAAAGACTAATAACCGATGAATTTCACAAATGTCGAATGTGCGAAATATCATCAATGACTGTTTTATTGTATCGTAACCTGTGGGTATGATGTCAAAGTATCGTGCGTACAATAAAGGTTAAAATTACTAAATTCAGTTCCACATAAAGTTAATAGTGTAATCTCTTGACGTTTTAATTTAAAACATAATAGGTTATGATATTGATCTGGTTTTTAACCATCCTCTCTAGGAGAAAACGTCTTCCAAAGCTTTTTTTTAGCATACTGAAATATTGATATACGTACAGATTCGAGGTGTGTAGATAGTTGCCACTTTTCAATTGACAATATCGTGAAAAAGAAATGAAAATGAAGTTAGCTTGGGAGTGATTTTGACAAACTGGAAACGTTACCGTATAACTGAAGAAAGAACTGTCTCATGTTGAAAATACGACATAACTTACCAACCACAAACTTGGCGCTTTAAGTCTTTTATGACACACCAACCAACCTAAATGAGATAGTCAAAGCAAAAGGAACAAAATGTTCTAGTCAATAAACCTCAATTAGGTAATCATGATATGTAAGTCCAACAAATACATCAATGTAACTACTTCTATGAATCTGGTGTTCAACTTGTTGTCCTAATCAATTATGGCAACTTGGACCGATGTACATATGTGCCTAATCCTACATTGTAGCTGATTGATTGAACGGTTAAGGCGTAAACATTTAGATGATCTACTAATGAAAATTATTGTAAAGTTAGACTATAAAAAAACCTTTTCATGAAACATACACACCAAAAAAAAAAAGAAAACTAAGAAACAAAAAAAGGAAAAAAAGAAAAAAAACTACAATAACAAACAACATTAAAAGCAATACGAGAACTTTCAATGCTCCTTCTCATTTCACATTCAATTTCATCATATAAGATACATGACAATGGTATCTCAATAAAAGCACAATATATCAACAACAACAACCAAAACAAAAAGAACATAGTTCAACAACAACTTGATGAAAACAAAAAAGTCAAATAGATTGTTTATGAAACAATTGGACCGATGGAATGATAATGATAACACCGGTTGATAGAAAGTAAATACGATATATGACCATTTTCAAATGAAAAAGGATATCAATCCTTCTTGAATGTGAGATCCTTCTTATAAAGAAAGATATATATCTAGATGAAGTATATTACCAAGAGTAAATTATTCAATGAGATTATACAATGAATAGAATAACTTGATTATTCAGTTAATTTGATTAATATATAAATTTAATGAAATTTATCCCATTAATGAACGAATAATTTGACGTAATTCATCATAACGTCTACTAGTTGGTGGAATATAATCAAGCTATGAACAGAAAGATAAAGAGAAAATATAATAAACATATAAGTAAGATGATATTTATCAAATATTAGTATAAAGGAATAAAATTGTGTGCGTGTGTGGGATACTGCTCTGATGGCCAGACTGAAAAAGGTGATTTTATTGAGGAGTTACATTCGGAGCCTTCAACCTAATAGTCTGATCCATAAAGTAGTAGAGTAAGGTTAGGAGATGAAATTTCATGGTAACCGGTAATCAATATTTGGTTCATACACCATTTGTTCCCTCATGATGTTGGAGCGAGCTCATGTGTACCATTGGTTTGGAATCAAGGTTTTCCAACTCTCCTAGATGAGTCAGTCAGTAAATCAGCTACAACGTAGGACCAGGCATATATATGCATCGGTCCAAGTTGCCATACCGCATGAGCACAACAACATGAACACCGGATTGATAGAAGTAGTTAATTCAACGGCAGTAATATATAAAATGAGGATTATATATAAGGATATAGTACAAGAAGAAAGAATTAGTTGGTAGAAAGATATGGAGCGATTTTCATCTCATAGTTTAAGGGAAGACAAAGAGTGTATACACTGACGCCATTGTGATCGATTCTGAGTCATGTCACCCAGTCTCTAACCATTGGTTACGATAGTCACGCGGGCTCCAACCAAGTAGTCTGCATCTATCAACATGGTTCAGACTAGAAGTTAGTGGCTTTCAGCACGATTTGGTTCGGTTACCCCTAACTTTCTTCTAACCATCCCCAACACCGGTTAGCACTGCGCGTCGTGGTAATCGGTGTTCAGGTGGATGCTCTATATCTACCAAGCGCCGAACATTCATTTTTCGTCCTCTCAATTTCGTAAACAACAGTAGTGCTACGAGGACGTAATGAGCAGGACTTCCCTGGCAGTAGTTATATGTATATGGCCATATCAGAACATTTGGAGAACGGACTCTCCCCACCCTCAACCGTACCAGGGCATTTTGACGTGTTCAAAAAGTTACCTCAAACGGAGAAAAACATATCATATTATAGAATTCCTTTATACTTGTTTTGAATAGTCAAATATTAGTATATCACTAGTTCTCTACAATAATTAGAAGTACTTGAATTCAGCATGTTAACTAGCAATACTCAGAACTCTCTCATTCATACTCTATTAACCATGTATAGACTTGTAAATTCATATAGGAGAGAACTTTGTAAGTACAATCGAATATGTTAGAACTGGAATTCAAATCATCGATGGAATAATGTACACAAAACAAAGAGGTTAATGTTAACTAAACTTTGACAGTATTGTTAACATTTGACACATCCATACATTAAGGATTTAGGAGTGTTCAGATCTAATATTCAGATTAATAACTTACTACTTATACTATCAGGAAAATGATCATCTACACTAAATGAATCAGTATGAGAATGTATAGAACTAGAAAACTATGAGAACTAGTTAATGAATCTACAAATTAACATTATCTCCCATATATGTTGAGTATAAACAATTATATTTGAATTTTATGCCTTTGATCTGTATTGGGGATGACAGATCCCCTAGAACTCACTTGGTAAATACCTTATTTTTGTAATTTTTAGAAAAGGGTCTTGTGGAGATTTTAGTATTGAGATCATGAGTAAATGTAAAGCCTGGAATCACTGGACGGCGGTCTCATCCTACAGTGGGAGTCCTCAGCAGTGAGCATCCACGACCCCGCCTGGTGGGATTCGAACTCAGGACCTATCCGTTTCGCGCGCGAGCACTTAACCACTAGACCACTGAGCCGGCATCTAACGGTGTTAATATCTAACTTTAACAAATCCATAAAATTGAGCAAAACATCCACCAGTGACCAGTGGAGTTCAACTGAGTCAGTTGCGAAACAGTAGCTCACTGATGATAAAGGTGGATGTGTCGCTCAATTTTGTAATTTTATTTTGGAAATTTGAATTTCTTGTTTTCGCTTCAGAAGCACTAATTTTTAACCTTCATGTTGTAATACCCACTTGGAAGAATTTTAAACGCTATTGGTTCATAGTATCTTTTAGTATGTCATTTTGTAACGTTTCCCAAGGACAATTTTATGCTGTATATATACATACGTTTGATTTGTGTCTGTTATTATTGCTCGTGCTTCTGGCTGCTTGCAGAATATATTTCCTCGTTCTCGAACCTGGACTTCTCTCTGTAGTTAGCGGGGCTGAGAAGCATCAGAATAGCTAGCTTATTGGTCTTTAGTCACAGAGTCTTTGTTTCGTTCGCAGACTAGGTGAACTCGTAATCACTTCAAACATAACAATCTGAAATTTAGTTTTAGAATATATCTACAGTTCAGTACATTTTTCTTCTTAATTGCACCGAGTGGAATGAAGTTGAGAGCAGTTAGTTAGTTATACAGTATAGGCAAGGAAGAGCATAAAGTTATATTGCCTCGTTTGATTGTAGTAAAAACATTAAACATACCTGTAAAGCTTTAATTCGTCTCTGTCTTTCTTGCTCCAAATAAGCTGATGCATATGGACCTAAGAGGCGAATAACTTCTGAGGAGTTACGTTGTAACAATGGTATTTCTCTATGCATCATTGCTGTTCTTATATTCCAACGTAGAACACGTCGTGCATTTTCACCGGGTGTAGAATGTATCGACCAGCTTCGTTGATATGAATGATATTTTGTAACTGGATCTTGTTTTTGTCTCTGCGTAATAGTGGATACCGGTCGCTATAGATAAAAAAAATACCACCGAATTCAAATTGATTAACAAGAAATTATTAACCCTAGAGAAACGAATATCTTCACAATCAAGCCATAATGTCGACAGTTTATAAGAATATCTAACAGTTGGTAAATGAGAGTAGATTCTGTAACTTGATATTTTACTGGTAGAGAAACAAGTTCAAATTTCATTAATGTATTTATCTATTTGAACACATAAACATTGGTACAAGGAGACACCAAATAGATATGCCCCACATAAATCATTCGATTTACGTGAAGGCTAAGATACTGTCTGAGTGTCTAAACCGAAACAGGTAGTTTTCCCGTGGGTCTTTACACCAGGAGCCCTTGATCTAAAGGTCTAGTCCACAAGGCAATGGAGCAACGTCAGGAAACACAGTCCCATTGTGACTGGTTCACATGCAATTTGTTCCTTCAGGATCCTGGAGCCAGCTCATGTGCATGATTGGTTTGGAATCAGGGTTTTCCAACCCCCCTAGGTGAACTCTCTGTGTCCACCAACCCGGTTGGAGCGTTGGACATTCGCTTTTCGTCCTCTCAATTTCGCAAACAGCAGTGAGAAGGACTTCCGTGGCAGTGGTTGTATGCACGTGGCCATGAGATAGCATTTGGAGAGGGAGAGTGAACTCTCCCCACCCTCGGCCTGACCAGGGCACTTGAATTAATACTGATTATTCAACTATGAACAAAAGCCATCTACATCGAGAAATTATTAAAAACAAGACCACTTAAAGTATGAATTAAATTTTAAGGTAGCAACTAAAAGATATCAGCATATTTACAACTGAGGAACATCTGGAACTCAAAACAACTGTCAACCAACACCAAGGTCAGGATTTTCAATAAAAATGTCAAGACAGTTCTATTGTATGGGGCAGAAACCTGGAGAACTACGAAAGCCATCATCCAGAAAATACAGGTGTTTATTAACAGCTGTCTACGCAAAATACTTCAGATCCATTGGCCGGACACTATTAGCAACAACGTACTGTGGGAGAGAACAAACCAGATCCCAGCGGAGGAAGAAATCAGGAAGAAGCGCTGGAAGTGGATAGAACACACATTGAGGAAAGCACACAACTGCGTCACAAGACAAGCCCTCACATGGAATCCTCAAGACCAAAGGAAAAGAGGAAGACCAAAGAACACATTACGCCGAGAAATGGAGATAAACATGAGAAAAATGAACAAGAATTGGATGGAACTAGAAAAGAAGGCCCAGGACAGAGTGGGTTAGAGAATGCTGGTCAGCGACCTATGCTCCATTAGGAGTAACAGGCGGAAGTAAGTAAGTAACTAAAAGATATACAATTTCTAAATCAATAATGAATAGTGTCAGATAGGAACTTAAAACTTTATCTCTCCTTCAGTTGTTAACGATATAAGAATGCACATTAACCTGATTTGCAAGATATTACCACGGCAGAATCTACAAAATACCAAATAAAATATCATTAGGGTTGATCAGATACTCAATAATTGAGAGCAGCTGATCTTATGAATAGCTTATATCAAAATACATATATAATACAGTAAATGGATCATCATGAACAGTAATTGGGATACATACTTGTAAGTTCTGAGAATGTAATGATCGAGCATTATAACAACAACAATCATTCCCTTTTTGACAATGTTGTGCAGATTTAGGTCGTCGCTGTTGTTGTGGTACATTATGAACTTGCTCAACAGGATTATCAAGAAATCGAGCCGATCTTCTTGAAGAATTCGTCGTGGTAGTAGTAGACTTTTGGCGTTCATAATTAATAGAACTTAAAATATCATCAATTTTATTACACCCTAATATCTTTTCCAATTTATTATTCGATACTAACAACTTATTACTACGAAAATCATGTTGATCTGCATTAGTTGTAGTATGTGCAGTGACCTTTTCAATAATCGATTCACATTTTCCATGTAATTTATCCCGACTTCCTTGATCATCATGCAAATGTTGATGAGAATCACGTGCCTGTTGATATTGGTGCTGAAGATATGCAGACGATCTTCTAAACTGATTAGACGAATCTTTAGAAACAGACTTCGGGTGACAGTAGTTTTTGTCTGTTGATGACGATGTTTTCATTCTCATTGGTGTAAGTATGAATTCATTACTTAGACGGTGTTCGAAGTCAAGATTTTTCATAGAAGATTCAGAATGAATAGGTTGTCCATTAGCATCAGAATATTTAAAATTTACAGATTGTTTACTGCTGGTCAATTCATTCCCAGACTGAACTATTTGTTTCTGCTGTTGACGTTGGTGGTGGCGGTGGTGGTGATTAAGTTTCTGTTGTTTCTCTTCAAAATGACTTTCAGGTTCATTCAGTAATAGAGTTGTTGATGATAATGATGATGAGATCGATGTGGTGTCAAGATTATTCATTGCCTCCTTAGTTGTTGAAAAACAGGCTGTTATTTGTGAATCAGTTGAAGAATATGGTTTTTGATGTAGACAATGATCATGTTCATGATGATGTTTAGGTGATAATTGTACGACATTCGATACAGAACTATCATTGGATATGTTTCTTTCATTCAAGTTGAGAGAATAATTATTCGTTATTGATGATTTACACTGTCACATGAATAAACAAAAAAAGAATATGAACTAATGAGAATGATACATATATCTACTAATAAAGCCTGTAATTTAGATAATAAGTAGATTATCCACTTTTGTAAAGATTGCAGTCAGTCAGCGACAATGTAGGACTAGGCACATAAATGTATCGATCCAAGTTGCCACACATCATTAGCATAACAACATGAACACCAAATTTGTAGAACCAGTTACTTCAATGGCAGTAATGTATGTAAGAAAGATTGTGTATAAAGACATAGTACAGGAAGAAAGAATTAGTTCGTAGAAAGCAAGATATGAAGCGATTTTAATCTAATAGTTTAAGGGGAGACAAAGAGGGTATGTACCGACACCGACGATTCTGAGTCATGTCACTCACAGTCTCCTACCATTGGTTACGAAAGGCACGGGGACTCCAACCGAGCAGTCTGCATCTATCAACATGGTTCAAACTAGAAGTTAGTGACTTCAAGCACTGATGCCACGTTTTGGTTTGACCGCCTCTAACTTTCTACCAACCGTCTACAACACTAGTCAGCATTAGGCTTCGTGGTAATCGGTGTCCAGGTATACGTAACACGTGGCCCAACCATCTCAGTCGATGATGATTTACAACCTCATCAACATGTTAAACATCATTCTCTAATACCCTGCGTCTAATCTCACACGGTGATCCCAGCAGATTTCTAAGACATCTGTGATCAAGTACTAGTAACTTACGAGTATCCTCTACCTTGAATGACCACGTTTAGCAGCCGTAGGGTATAACAGAACGAACTGCTGCGTAGTATACTCGTCCTTTTATTGACAGACGGGTATCCCACCTTCGCCATAGGTGACATAAGTTGACAAAAGACAAACGAATGTTTTGAATCCATGCAAAGATTTCATCAGACACCAACCTATTAGAGTTGATCAAACTTCCAAGATAAGTGAAGTTGTAAAGATTTCGCTTGTGAATCAATTCACATTCAATATAATTACAGACACATGCATGTACTGATTGCTTGATTATATTTATTCCGTAAATTCTCTTAAATCTCATATTAAATAACAATTTTCATGTTGACTAGTCAAAGTGAATCGATGACAACACAACAACATCACAATTTTGAGGAAACTGAACACATTGAAAAGAAGTAGCATATGAGTTTTCTCAATACAAGTCGTCGATTTTTGAATTTAGGTCATTCGGCTACGAATGAATGATACTTATTTACCAACATATGATAATCCAGTTAATCCAATTTTAGAGTTTGTCATTGGCAAGATATGAACGAATGAAATAAAATACCTAAGAGAACGTATCTTAAACAACAGCTTAATAGAAAATGTCCTGATTATTGTATTAAAAGTACTTTTTCGAACATTGGAGAGAGCAATATATTTGAGATGGTGAAGATTTGTAGCTTATGTAGATGATTTAGATGAAGTTTCGTTCTCTGAGTTGGACAGTTTAGTCGTAGAGCTTTCATTGTTCTTCTGAACGACATCAGCAATACAAACTTCAGGTAGAAGTGAAGTGATCGAACTTCTCTACATATGATTCACAGCTTGTCTTGTAGACCTCGATGTTGATTGGTTCTTGTTGAACTTAAACCTGTCAACAAGAACCAATCAACATCGAGGTCTGCAGGACAAGTTGTGAATCAAATGTGGAGAAGCTCAAACACTTCACTTCTATCTGAAGTTTGTGCTGATGATGTCGTTCAGAAGAAAAATCAAAGCAATATACATCCCTCCAAAAACAAGATTCCATGTACATATTTACACTATTTCTAAGTATTTCACATGAACTGTGATAAAACAATTGGTAATAAAAAGTTTGATAATTATTTAAGTACAAGTATGTTTTGCACAATTAATCCCCTTTATTGTCTTAAAAAGGAAAAGAACAATACTCTTTAAATAACATCTCCAAACCCTAATCTTTCCGACTACTGCTTATACTCTTACTACCTGTACCACTATGGGATTTGAATCGACAACTGCATCTCTGTGCTAATGTGGTATGGCAACTCGAACTGATGTACGTAAGTACGAAGTTCTATGTTGTTACTGACTGACAATATGGTTGATATAAATTTCTTTTTCATAATAACTTAATATTCAGAGATATTTCCAAGTATATTCACAAATATATACTCATCCGTTAAGATTGAATAAAGAGGTGTTCCAAAATACAAAAATTAGATAAGGGTTTTTCTTCCATTTTTCATAGATCTTTTCTCCACGTTCAATCGATTTGAAGTAGACTATGAATATAGATTTATCAAAGTCGGATCATTGTTGTATTACTGAACACTTTAGTGTATAATTTGAACTGATTTCAATAGATTTTGCACAATTAAATTAAGCCAATTTAATTATGAGTAACTATTAAATTGTACACACACACACACCGCCCATCGTTACTACCGATTAAATGGTTTAGTAAAGCCGTTGGATTTGTGTCGTTATAGAGGCATTGCCGCTCGACTGATGCTGAGATGGCCTAATTTGACTATTTAGAGAAAGTAAAAGTTGTAACAAGGTTCTCGTAGGTGAACAAGTAGAAGTATTATTATCAGTCAGTCAGTAACAACGTAGAACTTCGTACTTACGTACATCAGTTCGAGTTGCCACATCACTTTAGCACAGAGATGCAGTTGTCGATTCAAATCCCGTAGTGGTAGAGGTAGCAAGAGCATAAGCAGTAATCGGGAAGATTAGGGTTTGGAGATGTTATTTAAAGAGTATAATACAGTTAAATAAATTTGGAAAGAGGAAAAAAGGCACATGAAGAATTCAGAAGATTAAAATTTCGGAGAATACAAAGAGTGGATGCATCTGCGCACACCATTGCAAACGATTTTGAGCCATGTCATTCAGGCTCTCTAACCATCGGTTGCTATCATCTCGTGGTCCCCAAACAGGTAGCCTACACCTACCAACATGTTTCAGTCCACTTGACAGTGACTTCATGGACTTGTTCCATGTTTTGGTCTGGCCGCCTCTAGCTTTCTTCCAACCTACTCCTATACCACTGAACATAGCACGTCGAGGCAGTCGGTCGTTGGGCATACGTAACACGTGTCCCAGCCATCTCAACTGATGAAGTTTCACTAGGTCATCAATTGATTTGCCATCCTTATCTAGTACCCGTTTCCTAACAACTGTGTTACTTACTCGATGGTCCCATGATATACGAGCAATGTTTCGAAGACACCTATGATCGAATGCTAGTAACCTACGAATATCCTCTACTCTTACCGGCCATGTTTCATTGCCATAAAGTAGGACGGGACGAACTGCTGTGTAGTAAACACGTCCTTTGGTTGGTAGACGGATATCTCGCCTACGCCATAAATGACGCAAGTTGGCAAAAGCTAGTCGAGCCCTCTGTATCCGTGCTGAGATTTCGTCACACACCAGACCACAAGCGCTGATGAGACTTCCAAGATAAGTGAAGCGGTCGACACACTCAACTGCTTCACTCCCTATCACTAGTTCGGGTGTCGATGTAACCCAATCCTGAAGCAACATTTTGCATTTCGAGGGGAAGAATCGCATCCCCAACATGTTTGCATTGTTGCTTAGAATGATCAGAAGACTTTGCATTTTGTCAGCGTCTTCACCAAATAAAACTATGTCATCAGCATATTCTAAGTCAACAAGTGAATCTCCTGGTAGAAGTTCAACCCCTGGAAATCCAGACGAGGAAAGTGTTATCTCTAAAAGTACGTCAACGACAAAGTTGAACAAGAATGGGGAGAGTGGACAGCCCTGACGAACACCACTCGAGGTTATCAATTCTGATGTCAGTTCGCCATAAGCTCCCACTCGACCAGTTGTGTTCGAGTAGAGAGCCTTTATAAGGTTAATGTACTTCTTTGGTACTCCTTTCAGTGACAAACACTGCCACAGAACCTCACGATCGACAGAGTCGAATGCCGCCTTAAGGTCGAGAAATACTACCATTGTGGGGCGTCTGAATGTGTGTCTGTGTTCTAGGACCTGACGAAGTGTGAATATCTGATCTATACAACCACGTCCAGGTCGAAAACCAGCCTGATTTTCTCTAGTCTGTTCTTCACGAGCTTTGGTTACCTAAGACCTCGGTCAATCTCGCTGCTAATACTGGACCACCATCCTTAAAAATCTCAGGAGTAAACCTGTCAGGGCCTGCTGCTCTCCCTCGCTTCAGATTTCCTATGGCTTTTTCAACGTCGTAAAGGGACGGAGGACCTACATTAACTTGCCATTCAGGTTGACTGGAGATCGTGGGAAACCGAAGTGTGGCTGAAGGCCAGTTGAACTGATCCCTAAAGTGTTCTGCCCATCGATCCAATCTCATGGATTGGGAATGAATAATATGTCCATCTTTCTCTGAGATTGTTTCGCTAACGGTCGGGTTCCTAATTCCGGTTTCCTTAACGAGTCTGAACAATTGTCTGCTATTACCTATTGCCGCTGCCTTTTCCATCTCTCTTGCTTTCGCTACCCACCACTGTTCGCGATCATTGCGTAGACTTTATTACCAGCCTGCGCTTAAGCTGACTCCGCTCTTCATTATGTTCAGAGCCAGGTGGAATGAGTTTCCGAGCATCTATCAGTGCGATAGATGCTGCTGAGATCCAGTGTTGCTCCCTAACCTTCTGGTTTACCTTACTAGCAGATATCACTGCTGTTTCCACAGCTTTTCGGATATCATTCCATGTTGCATCGGAGTGGGCAGTATTATTATCATGACTCAAAAATATATAATGAAGCATGCACTTGGCTTTGTGCTGGATTACATGTATACTGGCTTAGTGATATTTATCCTAGACTTCAGTGGTTGAATAAAGCATGCACTTGACTTCATGCTAAACTGCATTTACACTGGCTTAGTGGTATTTACCTTAGGTTTCAGCGGTGTATTGTACTTAACTTCAGATGTATTTAATGAAAGTGAACTAAACAAATTGTAAACAATTACTTACTTTAATTGAATCATTTAGTATTGTATGATCATTGAATTTCTTTAATGGATTGTTCACGCTATTACAATCATAACTGTTTGTATTATAATGTGTAAAGTCCTCAGATGTCACAGAAAAACATGATGATGACGACGATGATGATGATGGCGGAGGAGGAGGAGAAGAAGAGGAAACGATAGAAGATTTAGATAGATACGATACAATTCTTTTAGAATTATCAGTAGTAATATGATTATTATCATCAATTTGTTGATAAGTATCACCATCATTCATAGAAATACCATTAGTTGTTACTGATTGAGATGGTTGTTGTTGTTGTTGTTGCTGGTGGTGGTGGTGGTGGTGGTTGAAATGATGCAACGCATATTTCTCTTTATTAATTAATAAATCTAAATCATTTTTTAAGTGAATTAATTGTTGATTATTTAAACCGACTACACCTAAATTAGTTAATTCTCTTTGTATTTCATCAAAAGTGAAATTAAGATCATCATCATCATCAGATAAAATCATTTGTTATATCAAAGATATTGGTGTTGTTGTTGTTGTTGTTGCCCTTATGCAATAACTATGAAGATGAAGATGATAATAGTGATGATTGTGGTGTATAAAACAATGTCATCGTTTTAGATAACTATGATACGATGATTCCATCCACATATATGATAATCATTGATCACCAACCAATTAACAGTTAAATGTGGAAAAAACAGATGAGGTAACTACTGAAACAAGAAAGAGAATATATGCATATGCTATTAATAAATATATTAGAGAAAAATGTTTCAGTTGTTGGCTTTAAATCGTAGATATACCATGCTGATGAGTATCAACTTGTACAAATCGGACGTAAAACTCTATGTTGATGAATACTATCCCCTTGTCACACTTGCGCTCATAGGAATGGTTAGTTAACATAACAAAAGACAATATCATTGAAAAGTTGAACCGATCTAAGGACACCATTGAAAAGCTGGAAGTGTGATGGATCACGGATTAGCACTGTTGAGGAGTTGCATATTACGAAAAAAACAGCCATCCAGTACTCCCAGGTTTTCAATGGTGGTCTAACTTAGGTTGGTTCAAGATTTCGGTTTAGGCACCCAGGCAGTATCCCGGTCCTCATATAAATCCAATGATTTATATGGCGCATATTTGTTTGGTGCCTCCGGTTCAAGATTTCAATGAAATTCAACAATCTCTATAACCTGATACCTACAACAAGCAATATACTTACTAACACGGTTCAGACAGACAGAACAAACGATGTATAAAATGTAGCGACCACTGAAAGCTGAGCTGAGATTACTTAGTATTGAGCACTTGCGATGGTTTTCATAAAATAACATTCGTACACTAACCGGTAAAAATGAACAGTATATCGGCCAACTTAAATCAGTTAAAAATATAGAATACGAGAAATGTGTATCGATTTAGGAATACATTTGCGGTGTAATAATATACCTATTTTAAGACAAAGATTAAATCTATCTGCACCATTAGGACGCTTTGGAGTCATTTCACCCAATGTATCCAACCACTAATCGAAAGAACCCTACTCAAGTAGCATGTAACTATTCGGAAGGATTAATCTATCAGATACGGACTTCACGGACTGAACACACTTCTTGATGCAGCGCTGACAACCTCGTTCTAACCTACTTTTACACTAGTATACATCACCAGCCGAGATAAACAATGATGATCGAGAATATCTAATACATTTCGATGGAGACTCATTACCTCATCAATCGAATTGTCAGCTTGACCCAGTAATCTGAGCCTAACCTCAGCACTGTTCACTAAGTTGTCCAAACAAACCCAAGCAATGCTTTGAAAGTACCTATGATCAAATACTAGTAACTTATGAACATATTTAACAGAAAAATTTGAAGACTGGGAAAACAGATAGCTTAAATGTTTTAATCAGACCACTTTATATGAAGAGTTCTTTACACATGATATGGATGATTATTGTATAGAAAATTGGGCTAAATTCCGTTAGGATAAATAAAATCGATTATCTACACTCGCAAACATATACGATAGAAACAACAATACACAGCAAAATTTATCCGGAGTTCTAAAACACAATTTGTAATAACCCATAACATAACATTATACGACTCAAACAGAAGTAGTTAGTTAATAAAAGAAAACAGTAAATGGCAAAATAAGTTTTTTTAATACAATACATATACATTTTTTGAGAACAAGTTACAATCCAAAAGCAAGAGTTTTAAGTCTTTTCTGTACAAGGAATTGGATCAAAGAGAGATATAGAGAACGCGAGGGAGGGAAAGAGAGGATATCTGAACTTCTAACAATAGGAACAGTTCAAAAACGCAGTAAGAATCCTTTATCTACACCACTAGTAGTAAAAGCATCACCTGATCCTTGATTTGCTGTACCTGGACGTGAATCCGACATATTGCTATAAAACCGTTGACCTCCCATAGGAGGCGCCGGAGGCTGATACCTTACACGACTACCACTTGTTGTGGCCAATGATGATGCCGCTGCTGCTGCGGCAGCAGCAACAGCAGCTGCAGCCGCTGCCAGAGCACCACCACCAGCAGGTGCTCTAGGTGATGCTCTTTTCACTGCAACACCACCTTCAGACTTTGCTGGCCAACTTGGAAACATTGATGGATGGATAGCACGAGGACGTTCGTTGAAATATGGATGAACAAGTGCTTTTTCTGCGGTAATCCGTTTATCTGGACAATATGTAAGGAAACTGTAAAGACAATAAATGTTAAAGAAATCAATCATCTATAAGAACTTTTCAATTAACTTCAACGTAAAAAAAACATAACTGTTACAAATGAGATTAAAACGTCTTGAATTTAAATTTATACCTAACCATTTCAAGTACACTATATCACATCAATTACACTAGTATTTGAATACGATTTAAAAACAGACAAACACTTCACAGTCAATTCATATCATTCTCAAATATTTGTTAGTACAGATTGATACTACAGTGTTGAATTTATCAGTGGCGGTTAGTACGTGTCACTCTGCAATTATACACCGAGGATCTTCATTAAGCTTACAAAAAGTTAGAACAACTAAACAAAGTTATAACTGTAGTTGAGGATCAACTGATAACTACCATTCAGCAGTTGAAGAAATACAATAGAATATAATAAATTCTACTGGTTCAAATAACAACAAATGAAAAATCATAAACAACGAGAAGAATGGGTTTGAAATATTGTTAAAGATATTACATCATATAAGACAAAAATAATGAGTTGTCCTACAGTCCTATTGGTCCTGTATTAATAAAAAGAATGATTTAAGATATGAATATATTCAGAAACTTTACATCTCATACCTTTCATTGTTTACAATTTTCTATGGTATTGGTGACCTCAATAATTTTTGTATAAATTATACCAAAAGCTAGAGATACTAAAAAAAATAGCATTAAACCTCATAGATTGTAATTGTCACAAATTGATTCCAGTCGGAATACTATTGAAAACCACTGAGCACTGGACAAGTACAATCTACAAATTAAAACTAATCTCCACAAAACCCTTTCAATTAAACTTCAATATTCAGATCACTAGTGACCTAATTCAAGATGATTCTGAAGATCTAGCATGAAGTCATGATGGGTGAAGTTCAAGCATACGGAAAGTGGAACAGTTATCATAAATAGGATTGGATGATCGTCGCTTGATATCGCAAACCAACTGTGATTTAAGTTACATAGGTTGCACAACCCCCCGAATGCCCTGGTACGACCGAGGGTGGGGAGAGTTCACTCTCCCACTCCAAATGCTCTCACATGGCCACGAGTATACAGACACTGCCACAGAAGTCCTACTCACTGGATTCTCGTGGCATTACTGCTGTTTACGAAATTCAGAGGACAAAAAGTGAATGTCCGGCAATTTAACCGGGTTGGTGGACACGGAGGATCCACCCAGGGGAGTTGGAAAACCCTGATTCCAAACCAATGATGCACACGGGCTAATTTCAGGATCCTGAAGGAACAAATGGTGTATGAACCTATTGTTCGTCATCGGCTACCATGGGAGTGAATGTCATGACCTTGCTCCACTACCTTGTGGATCAGACCTTTAGGTCGAAGGCTCCGGGTGTGGTCTTTTGAACATACCGGAAAACGCGAATGGAAGATTGAAAGCAGCATATATGTATTAGGTAAATACTTTTTAACTTCTCACAATAAAGATGAATGCCTCCTGCCTATAGTCTTGTCTTACAGTGGGTTCGGCCCCTGATATGAGTTGTACTTGCTCAAAACCGAACAATCCTGTAATAGGACGAAACAGCTGTTCAGTGTGCATTGATTTATAAAAGTACCTAGACTGACATCAATGTGTGACACATGAAACCTACTAAACAGATTAATCCTTCCAAAACCTCTTCAACTAAACACACAAAAATTACCGCTTTTAACTGACCTATTCAATAAATCAAAACCTTGATCAGATATTTGTTTTTCAGTAAATCTTCGTCTTAATTGATTATACGGATATTCAGTAAAAACACATTTTTTAATTCCAGGCAACTGAGATACACCTGGCCAAATACGTTCTGTTGGTGTGCCCAAATCTCGAAAAATAATATTTAATTCATCCACTTCACCTTTCCCAGGGAATAATGGTCGTTGTAGCAAGAATTCAGCGAAAATACAACCAACTGACCATAAATCAATTGGACAAGTATATTGTTTGGTACCTATTTTTTTCAACAACAACAAAAAATATGGTAGTAGTTCATACAAACGAGAGAGTTTAGTGAATAACATCTAAAATGCCAACTGCATCAATTATAATAACATATGCATTAACACTAGATATGTATGCGCCCCCAAATGCCCTGGTATGGCCGGGAGTGGGGAGAGTCCGCCCTCCCTCTCCAAATGCTCTCACATGGCCACGCGTATATAGCCTCTGTCAGGGAAGTCCTACTCACTGCCTTCTCGCACCATGGGTGTTGTTTACGAAAATGAGAGGACGAAAAGTGAATGTCCGGAACTTTAACCGGATTCCAAATCAACGGTGCACATGGGCTCCAGTATCCTGCGAGAACAAATGGCGTATGAACCAATCGTTGGTCACCGGCATCCATGGGACTGCATCTCCTCACGATGCTTCACTGTCTTGTGGATCAGACCTTCAGGTCGAAGGCTTGGAGAGTGACCCCCTAAGAAAACCACCTGCTTCGGTTTGGGCACCCGGGCAGTATCACAGCCCTCACACATATCGGATAAGATTTGTGTGGCACATATGTATTTGGTGCTTCTTTGTACCAATATCTATGTGTTGAAATAAATAAATATAGATATGTATGAAACAATAGGGGAATCAGTCTGATATGTCGATGAAAGAGAAACGTAACGAATCAGTGAGGGAATATGGATACATTCAACTACGTTAAATCCATGAAATTATAGAATATTATTAATTTCATTCATGATTGATTTCTAATCGGATTTCATTGTGTTAAGTGTTTGTAATTTGTGTCAATTAACTATTGCCTAGTCTAATTTGGTTCTCAATCGTCGGTCGAATTTTCAATGATCTAACCTGCTGATCTATTAATCAGTATGTCGAGCGAGTACATAGTCTGATACTGGGTCGCATAATCTAGTATATTTTTGAGCATTGTATTATCATGTAACTATCATAGAATGCCGCCAAACCTTTTAATTCCTTCATTATTATATCAAAATTCCAGTCACATGTTGGATCGGGCTAGCATAAAATCTAGAAATTTGTGAGCCAAGGAAGTTCTCTTCTTTATGGTTGACGTGTTTTGAATTTCCTTTTACCATTTTCTTGGGAAAGCGTCATTCGGAGATGCTGAATACAAGTAAGAAACAATTTACTACCACTCCACCTAAGTACAGTCAAACAGTACAAGCTAAGATTTTACGTCTTAAATTTGCTATTTGCGACTGGAAATATTTTAAGGACTTCAAAAAAAACTTAATAATAAAACAATCAGTGAATCTAAGTCAGTCAGTCTGCAACAACGTAGAACTTCGTACGTACGTACATCAGTTCAAGTTGCCATACCACATTACCACACTGATACAAATGTCTATTCAAATCCCATAGTGGTAGAGGTAGTAAAAATATAAGCAGTGATCGGAAACATTAGGGTTTGAAGATGTTAGTCAAGGAGTATAATACAGTGAAATAAATTTAGAAAGAGAGAAAAAGGGACATGAAAAATTCAGAAGAATAGAATTTGGGTGAACACAAAGAGTGGATGCATCTGCGCACACCATTGCAAACGATTTTGAGCCATGTCGTTCAAGGTCTCTAACCATTGGTTGTTATTATCATCTCGCGGATCCCAACTAGGTAGCCTACACCTAACAACATGGCTCAGTCCACTTGTCAGTGACTTCATGGATTTGTGCCATGTTTTGTTCTGGCCGCCCCTAGCTTTCTTCCAACCTACTCCTACACCATAAAACACCACACGTCGGGGCAGTCGGTGTTTGGACATACGTAACACATGTCTCAGCCATCTCAACATATGTTACGTATGCCCAAACACCGACTGCTCCGTGAATTAGTATACCAATTAACGATTAAATCTATTGATTAAGATTTAAAAATAACAAACGAGAAAAAAACAGCAATTAAAACTACCTAGTAACAGCTCCGGTGCTCGATACCATAAGGTGACAACAACTTCTGTATAATGTTTCAATGGAGAGCCATATTCACGAGCCAAGCCGAAATCTCCTACCTACAGTAATCGACATGCAAAAAAATAAAATGAAATAACAATGAGGTTTTCAAAAATTAAAACTAACAATTTCTACATTAATCCATATCTTGACTATAGTCAAGATCAATGTCAAGTAAGATCAACTGGTCACGTTTATGATCTAATCCTTAGGCTGAGTAATTTACACGAATAGACTAAATTAAGGTTGATAATAAATGACAGGAGATAGTCAATAGGCAAAGTTCTAAAACTCTTTTTTTGGTAAAGTATCCAAATGCGTCATTTAGTAGGCCATGGAATAAAATGATTGTCTCGAAATGAACACAAAGCGATCAAAATAGTAAACATGAAAGATTGAGTTCCAACTTTCAATAGTCTAAAAGTTATACGCTTGTACAGAGTTCTACAGGTACTAGATTCAAGCATTGGTGCACTTCTGCGGAGTCTCAGATAAAGACTAAACTGTTTTGATGGAGTTTTCTTCTATGAGCTGGATAGGTAGAGATCTACCTGAAGTTTGTGCTGATGATGTCGTTCAGAAGAACGATGAAAGCTCCACGACCAAACCATCCAGCTCAGAGAACAAAACTCCATCAAAATCATCCACCTAAGCTACAAATCTCCATTATCACTAAACGGTATTCCCAATAGCATTCTTTAAGTAGTGTTAGTTTGGGACAAAATGATTTTAAGGACGTCAAATCTCTCGCTCACTCGGAAGATATATGAAATGTTTCAAGATGACAGACATATGTTGTTTATATCAGTAGTACCGAACATGTTAATAATAGATGTATTTTACATTTTCATTCAATCAGTAAAAGAAAGTGTTTTGAATAACTACTAATGAACAAACTGGACAATTTACTTAAACAATAATGATAACTCACCTTTAAAATTCCTTGATGACTTAACAGAAGATTTGAAGTTTTTAAATCTCGATGTAATATCCAATTATCATGTAGATGACTAACTGCTCTTAGTAATTGTACAAGTAAACATTTCACTTCACCAACACTGAAAGGACCATTCATAATCTGTAGAAGAGTAAATAAAGAATTAGATACTAGTTATAAACACAGAAGAATGGATTAAACATTGGACTGTGTATATAAGAGAGTAGACGTTTATTTTCCAACCGAACAAAAAAAAGAAGCATTCAGTTTGAACTACACGAAAACAATATCCATGGACAAAAGACTTTAATTCATTAAAGAGTTAGGGATCTTCAAAAACTGACAGTAACCAATCGATTGTGACATCTGATCGTGTTTACTTTGTGTTAATATTTTGTGAACAAATTTGTCATTTTATTACATAAAAAATTTATTCTGTTGGGGAACTGTCTTGTTTATGTCAGTTTACTGAAAGCATATACCAATAATTCGGTAGTGTGAGAACCCATTTGATAATTAAGAACCTTTCTTATCCTTTGAACTGCAATCCACAACTGGATTAGATACTTAATTATTTATTTGAACACATAAATACTGGTACAAGGGCGAGGGGGGCATCAGATACATAAAAGCCACAAAACTCTCATTTGATTTGTGTGAGGGCTGTGGTACTGCTCGGGTGCCCAAACCAAAACAGGTGGTTTTCTTAAAGAGATGCAGTCCCATGGTAGCCGGTGATCAAAGATTGGTTCATTTGAAGAGTTCTAGCCAACTAGAACTCAATAAGAAAAAAACTTTTACATATAGTAAACGATATTTATTATTACATATTTAAATTCTAGAGCGGTGGCCAATTGATTAAAGCAGTCAGCTTTCAAATGATAATTCACAGATACGGTTTACTTACTTCGGTTTAAGCAACCAAGTACTAGTGTCCGTAACTTTTAACACAAATGATTTCGTTCACAGTCAAGTAAATATAACATATGCCTAGTCAATGTGCAACATGAAATACAAAAGCTGTATGAATGAATTATGCAACTAATAATAATCGTGTGCTCGCTAGTGACCGATTCCGAGGCGATTCCGGGAGCTCTAGTAAGAGACCGTAATCATAAGAGTACAATTATCTTAGACAAGCAGCAAGTATCTACCAGCTGGATTGGATTATTCGATTGTAATATCGCAAATCGAATGAAGTTAAGAATGAAAATCACTTGATTCTGAATCAGTGATAGGAAGATAGAGAGCTCGCTGAGAGACCTGAAGTCCTGAGTTCGATATCCAGCCGGTTTGAAGATGCGCACTGCTTAGTGCCATGCTAGGACGAAACAGTCGTCAAGTGGTTATCAATTTTCAATGAGTTAAACTAAGAACAGTCGGTAATTTTAAATATGAAATTATACTACGTAAAAGAACACAAAACTCCGCCTGGAGCCCCTCTGGGGCTACTGCCCGTCCCAAGCCCGGATAAAGGAGGGTTGGGCATGGGGTTAGCGACCGCATCCCGTAGAAAACTAGCTCGCTAAAAAATCGCTAACCAGAAAAAAAACAAAAGTAATAACCGAACCACCTGCTTACCTCCATTAATGATTTTAAATCATGTTCAACATAATCCATAACTAAATAGATTTTATCCATATTACTGCCAACTACTACTTCACGTACAGTAACAATGTTTTCATGTTGAGCTTTCATTAACATATTTATTTCACGTAATGATGTAATTGGGAAACCATCACGTTCTTTCTCCATTTTTAAACGTTTCAATGCAACAATTTCATTCACTTTTTTATCACGTGCTCGATAGACAACACCATAAGTGCCTTCTTCAATACGATTGAGACATTCAAATTCTTCTACTGATCTACAACCCTAAAAAAGATCAAACGAGAAAGACAATCAAAGAGACATAGATTATGGTATGGATCAAAATCTAAGGAGAGGATTAATGGGAGGGATGGAGAAGTGATTTAGCTTACTGTATTTTATGGAAATACGTCCATGATTATATCCAGAAGTTAAACTTAACAACAGCGATGAAATTATTGATACTAACCAGTAGGTGAGGGGTTGAAAAAACAAGTGATCAAATCAATTAGCTGTATCTCTAACAAAGATGCAGATTAAGGTTTCAATATTACTTTTAACTATGAAAATGCCCACGTGTATCTCATTAATATGACATCTAGTAATTCACCTACTATATGTATTTCTATCTCCTTACTCGTAACATAATCGTGGCTATGTACAATATTATTATTTTATGAGTCCAGATCCAATGGCTAAGTTGTCTAGAGGTTAGAGTGTTCGTGAGCGCAACCAAAAGTAATGAGTTCGATCACCGACGGAAAGATTGTGGATGTGCATTGGTGAGGTGTCCAATACTAAGTCGGAACAGATGTCTAGTACTTTCAGGTTTTCAACGAAAATTCAAAAATTTCCACAACCACTGCTCCAATGAAAAACATGTTCTATTAACGATTAGTTCATTACATGTTATTCTCCAATGTCGATTTTAGACATTTTACAACGATGTAACCGTGTTTCGTATAAAGACACTCAATGAGGAGGATTTGAATTTCATGAGTACCAGTTCCACAAAGATTGCAGGTACCCCATTCATTAGAGTGCCAACTAGCACCAAACTTGAGTTTAGGGTTTCTTAATGCCTGTCTCTAATTAACAAACATCAGAACATGGTGGACGCTATAATGAATCACTCAGACTAATGACCACATTGGAACTTGATCAATGGAATTAAATCAGTGTTGAGAATCAGACAAGTATGATATTGTTAATTACTCAATGTAGAAAATAAATACATAATCACTATTTAATACATATAAAAAATAAAAAATTCCACCCTTACTTGTATAGATGGGAAATAGAATGGCTTCCCAGGTGGTTTATTCTTAAAGGAACTGATTTCATCATCATTAACAACATCATCGTCTTTATGAAGTTCAACATCATCAAGTTTATGATCATTGACATCGTCATCATCATCATCCAAAAAACCATTATCGGGTACTCCACCTTCTTCACATTCAGATGAAGATTCTGAATAGCCCGGATAACGTGGAGGAGGTGGTAGTCTATTAAATTCACCTTTTATATCATTCCCAATTATTTTATTTCCAGCAGGAAATAATACATTCATTTCCTTAGATTTTCCACCAGCTTTCTCATTGATATCAATATCTGCTATCTTGTTATAACTAATGTCATGATTATTTCGTCGACTATTGCTATTATCATTGATATTGTGTGGATCTGAGTCACTTTCTTCTGAATACTGTTCACCACCTTCAGGTTTATTTACTACTAACTTATAGAGATTGCGACTACTTTGTTCATAGTCTCCTTCCAGTTTTGAAGTGGATGATATCTTTCTCATTGTTGATCGATTGTTTTTCATTTTTGAACTCTTAGATGAGTGTTTTTTATGTTTACTAGATTCTGTTCCAAGAGATTTTGACATTTTACTTTTGGTGCGTCCAGTGGTTGAGTGTGTATGTGAATCGTCTATTTGTAATTCATGATTTTCATTGTCTTGTGATAGTTTTTCACGTTTACTAGCCAAATTTACTCCATAATTAATACTTTCAGATGTTTCACGTTTGTCACCTTTACGCTTATGTTTCATTTTTACCGATATTTGATTTGGACCAATATAATGACGTGTAGATTCAGGTGGTGGAGCAGTTTCTCTAGCTTCACGATGATAACGTTTCTTAGAATAGGTATATGATTCATCAAGATCATTGGGTGATTGAGAAGAGCGTCGAAGTTGTTGACCACTTGTTAATGATGTTGATGACTTACGATATCCCAAAGGTGATGAGTGTGATGAACAACCAGTGTATGCAGAAACTTTACTCAGTTGAGATGAAGCGGAAGATATGGAATCTAATGAACCTGAACGACTATGTTGGAGAGGTCCATGATGACGATCTGGAAGTTTGGTATATTTTTGAATTGACTCCCAAGTATTGTAGTCTAAATGACTACTACTATTACCAGATTGAATTTTTCGTTGCTTACTTTCCTTTTTAACTTTTAATGTTGTCACCTCTCGACTTTTTGATGTCATCTTCTGCTCTTTTTCTTTCCGATCACGTTTAGATTTTTTAGATTTCGATTTACGATTTATCTCTGATTGTGAAGGATTTAGTTCATCTGTATAAATAGTTTGCGATTCAATCATTCTATCAGTTACAGTAACACAACTTGATTGATTTTGACCATATTTTAGCACATATTCCTCGCGTTCTACTTGTAAAGCTGTTTTGTATTGTCGATTGTCTTGAGGTGAATTTTCTAATGTTTGATTAACCGTAGACACTAATATACGATCTAAAGAAAAAACAATGTAGAAATAACAGAATCCCAAGTACAGTTAACAGGTAAAACACAGACAGATAACAGATCTGATCGACAATATATCTATCAGATTTTGTAACATAAACATAATAACCCGCATCTAACATTTTTTGTTTTTTGTTCACTGAAGCTAGTAAGGTCGGATGAACCAGAACATGACACTAGTCTCGAGGCACTTACCGCTGATCCGAGAAGTCTAGAGGTACGCAAAGTTCTTAGTTTTCAAGATGATGGGAACTAACCGGTAGAAACCCCAAATGACATAGCCACAAGTTGATAACTGTAACTCAGATGTAGTTACTCATTACATCCTAATAAATTTAAAAATCTTAGTACTTTTCATTCAGTTCCTTTCATAACTCATCTTGTTGATTTTATGACGAATGAATACAGCTGCTCTACTGAAAATGGTTTCCAGTAGTGTCACCTAACATCAATGATTGATTGCAGTTATTGCCCAAACACTTTGATCCAGAATATCTCAACCTTAAGATAGATTTTAGACCAAGAGTCAAGGAATTCATGAATTAGTGAAACATCCTGGTTTGACTACCCCACAGACTTCTAACTCATTCATATTATATCAACCCATATCGGGTTACGCAGTGGGTGGGTATAAATCTGAAAATCCATCCTAAATTCTGTAAACCATTATTTTAAAGGAAATTTTAAACAAAAGCATTTTAGCTGTAATTACGATTACCTCTCTGCTTTGAATCCGATTGTTTCGAAGACTGATACTTCCGATTAACTTCTGAGTCTTCCACTTTTGGATTAGAGTGGACACCTTCTCTTTCACTGCTGGAGGTAGAATTTTCTTTGTAATATAATGGACGTCCATGTTGGTTCGACCCATGCATTGACTCTGGATCTATGTTATCGCGTATTCTCTTCTTTTCACGCTCACGTCGTTCATATCTTTCATGTAAACGGTTCCGATATTGATGTTCCTCAAGTGTCAAATTTGTATTCCCTGAAGGATATTTACTGGAACCTGATTTTTCCCGCTTTGAATTCTCATAACGTCGGTCCTCTTCACTAGATGCCTCACCCTCTTCTTTATCAAAATGAGTTATTTGTTTGCTGTTATATTCACGCTTTGAATCAACTGGTGGCATACCAGAATCATTTTCATCATCTGAATAAGCCTCTCCTTCTTCACGGGGCGAAACAATAGTACGACGGCCTTTATCGCTTAGATAAGCTGGTTTAACGTGAAACTGTGAAGACTTTAAATCTCCTGTGTAACTGGTACCGGTTCTTTTGAAAGTTACAGGTGATTCACCTTCATTCTAAACCATAAGTTGACCAAAACTTAATAAGCAAGCGCTTAGTTACGACAGTAAAACAAAATTAAGTCGGAACGGTATGAGCTATTTATGCACCTGCTATTTAGAGGTAACGTACCCGGAGAAATTCTAATTATGAGGTTACGCAGAACAATTTAAGAAACGTTAGACGTGGGAAAACCACAACTAATATTTTCTATCCGTTCGGCGGTAACACCCAGACTGAGATAAATTGCCTAAACCAGCCACGATTTTTATATCTATCTGCTCACTTGATCATGTGAAGCAAGTTACACTAGCAAATGTTTTAAGGATTCACTTTTTCACTGCAGTGAAAACTTTCAGCTAAACACTTTCCCACTTCAGTCAGTCAGTTATATGCAACATGAAATCTGATATACATGTACATCGATTCACATTCCCACACTACATTGAAATACCCAGAAAAAATTACTCAGTCATATCCCAGAGTGGTAGGAATACTAACGGCATCAATGGTAATAAAAAAGATTACATAAAGAAAGTATAAGATTGTGGGAATCAAGATCTGAGAAAAAAAAGACGAGTGAGTGCATCTGTCCCAATGCCATCGATCCTAAGTCATCTTATGTAACATCTCTATCAATGGTTACGATAACCACACTGTACCTAACTAGATAGTCTACACCTAACTACATTACTCGGTCCGACAATCAGTGACCACATCGAATGATGCCATACATAAGTTTAGCAGCCCCTAGCGTTCTTCCAACCTGTTCCTACATAATATATCACTTATCGGCGTAGACAGTGGTTGAACATGAGTCAAATATGTTCAAGCCACCTCAGTTAACGAAGATTCATTACCTTACTACTTCATTCAATTCAAACGGGTTATACTAGCAGTGCACATCAATCGTTCCCCGCAGATTGTAATGTTAGTAATTTTCGGCCAAAATCTACCAGACTTAAAATCTTTCAAACAGCAGAAGCTATTCACATTGAAAGATTAGAGTTTTGTGTACAAAAGAAACATCTTCCACAGCTTCTGTTACCATGGTAAACCTTGAACACAGTAAGTCAATAAGCATTTCAGTTATGAAAGAAACTAGTTTGACTAATGTACGTAGAGCCTTCCGTTTTAGGTCTTCATTAATAATTTTATCTTATTCAGATATTATTATTATGCAAATATCTTTGGATTATTAATATCATGTAAATATATGGAAAATTTAATGACCACTCACCCAATTTGCTATCTCTTACTAACTTCATGAGTTATTTCGTCTTTAAAGAAACGTTTAGTTTGGTTCGCAATTGTACTATTAGTCCCTTCGCTCTATTATCTGTAGTTATTCTGACTATTATTTAACGTATAAACTTATGGAAGTCAATAGTACATACTAACAATTTTGCTTTATTTTGTTAACAAATCTGAAATTCATGTGCTGTAACCCTTAGATACATTTGCAGTAAAAATGCTTCTTCGGGAACATTATTGTGGATATTTAATTATGTAACTTAATGAGAACCTACCGAGAACAATATTCTACATATAGTTATCGTTGATTTCAATTATTAGGACCAAAACTGTAAAGATGATATCCATATTAAAACGACAGTATATAACCAAATTCTTTTATGCCTAGGTACTTAAAAAACGCAACATATATGTCACATGAGTTCCACAAAGTTCAAACAAATTAAAACAACTTGTGAAAACTTGTGAGACTGGAAAATGACCCTTACGAAATACAACTCCAAACATATTCCGTGATATGAAGATGAAGTTTGATTAAAATGACCGACATTTCATGTGGCAATATGATACCAAGGGATTAGAAGAATGCCAAACTACTGAGAGAGTTTTATTTTAATGGTTCTATACATGTCAAATCCCAATACGACAATAGGCTTTCTGGGGTTACTACCGATCCTTAGCCCGGATGAGAGGGGGTTGGACATGAAGTCAGCAACCTCATTTCATAGAAAATAATCTTACTAAAAGACGCCAACCAGAAAAAAAAATCTAAACCACTTAATTATTATTTATTTATTTTAACACATAGATATTGGTACAAGGAGGCACCAAATAGATATGCGCCACAGAGATCTCATTTGATATGTGTGAGGGCTGTGATACTGCTCGGGTGCCCAAACCGAAGCAGGTGGTTTCCTCGGCGGGCCACACCCGGAGCCCTCGATCCACAAGGCAATGGAGCATCGTAAAGAGATGCAGTCCCATGGTAGCCGGTGACCAACGATTGGTTCATACGCCATTTGTTCGCTCAGGATACTGGAGACAGCCCATGTGCACCATCGGGTTGCAATCAGGGTTTTCCAACTCCACTAGGTGAACTCTCCATGTCTACCAACCCGGTTAAAGCGCCGGACATTCGCTTTTGGTCTTTTAAAATTCATAAACAACACCCCCGCCACGAGAAGGCAATGAGTAGGACTTCCCTGGCAGAGGCTATATACGCGTGGCCATGTGAGAGCATTTCGAGAAGGAGAGCGGACCCTCCTCACTCTCGGCCGTACCAGGGCATTTGTCCCGAAAGTTGAAGGATCTTCATTTAAAAGAATTATAACGGCTTATAGCGAAAGCCGAGATTCTTCGGAAGTCACTCGGCAGATACTCCTTTTAACAACCTGAATGAACAATTAATATGGATACCTGGAATGATTGGACAATGTGGGAGACCGAGAGGACCAGACAGATAGCTACGGAAATGAGAAGGTACAACTTAGTAGTTATCAGAATAAGTGACACCCATTAGACCCAAGCTGGACAGAAGAGGTTAGGTTAGGGAGATATGCTGTTGTACCCTGGTCATGAACGAGAAAACGCTAGCACCGTGCACGCAGGAAGTTGCACTGATGCTATCCAAAGAAACACGAAAAGCACTTATGTGAAGGGAATCTCATGCATCCAGAATCATCAAAAGGGGATTATAATGAATTTCATTTAATTTTATGCACCAACCAATGATAGCAATGATGACACTAAAGATCAGTTTTATGAGAGGCTGCAATAAATCCCAGCGAGGTGCCCAGAAAAAGACCTGACCACTCTGATTGGAGACCTAAACGCCAAAGTCAGAATGGATAACACCGGATACGAAGATTTCATAGGACGATATGGACTGGGAGAAAGAAACGAAAGTGGTGAGACACTTGCAAATTTATGTGAGTTCAACAAATCGGTTATAGGCGGCACAATATTCCCACACAAATACACACACAAAGCCACTTCCTTATCACCGAACCACACCACAGAGAATCAGGCTGATCATATTTGCATCAATAAGAAATTCAAAAAGACATCGGAAGACGTGAGAACCAAGAGAGGAGCTGACATAGCTTCAAATCACCACTTGATGGTTGCCAAGATGAAATTGAAACTAAAGAAGCACTGGACAACTAGACAAATAGCATTACAAGGGTTTAATATAGTCTTCCTTCAAAATACTGATAAAATTGGCGAATTCAAAATAAGTCTCAGCAATGGGTTCCAATAAGAGGAAACTACTATAGAAGACAATTGAAAACGGATTAGAGAAGCACTAACTTCGACGTCACAGGAGGTTCTGAGACGCAAGAAGCATCATCACAAAGAGTAGATCTCCATCGAAACTCTGTACACGGTTTAAGTAGGGAAATACAAGAAGACAGGAATTAAAAACAGTCAAACAAGAGCAAAGAAAGTCAAGGAAGAACATGGAACACATTGCGTCGGGGATTGGAAGCAGACATCGAGAGAATGAGTGGAAACTGGAAACAACCGGGAAGGATTGTCCACAACAGAGTTCTATGGAGAATGCTGGTGAGTGGCTTATGCTTCTCTACGAGGGGTAACAGAAGTAAGTAATGTCAGACTTATAAAGATGTGTCCACACAACGAGCAAAGGGAGGATGAACAAAGATAAACTCCGTGCGTTGTACTTTGCAGCTAAATAATTGGATCAAGCCATTAATTAGATACAACTGTAGGTAATAACCTCATAATATTGATAAAATATCAACGATGGATTATACAATTGCTCCTGAATGCCCTGGTACGGTGGGGAGAGTTAGCTCTCTCTCTCTCTCTCGAAATGCTCTCACATGAACACGCGTATACAGCCAATGTCGAGGAACTCCTACACTGCTTGTTGTTTACGAAATCAAGAGGACGAAAAGCAAATGTTTGACGCTCCAACCGGGTTGGTAGACAACGACAGTCCATCTAGGGGAGTTGGAAAACCCTGATTCCAAACCAATAATGCACATGGGCTGGCTCCAGGATCCTGAAATAGCAAATGGATTATGAACCAATTGTTGGTCACCGGCTACCATGAGACTGCACCTCCTGATGTTGCTCCACTACCTTGAGGATCAAACCTTCAGGTCGAAGGCTCCGGGTGTGACCCCCTAAAAAACCACCTTCTTTGGTCTGGGCACCCGGGAAGTATTACAAGCCACACACAAATCAAGTGATCTGTGTGGCGCATATGTATTCGGTGCCCTTTGTACCAATATTTAAGTGTTCAAATAATAATATTATTACACAATAAACAAAGTTTGAAATCAATAGCCAAATCAATCAAATTAATAGAAATACCATAAACTAACATAGTCCAACTCATCATCTATTTCCACCAGGAAGTCCATTTGCTGTCTGAAAGAAAAAATAAAATATCATAGTTTCAAACAGAAGAGAATATATGTCTTATTTAACACAATATATGAGCATTTATTACGCCAACAACGGAAATTTGTTCGAACTTAAACCATCATGCTACATATCCAGAATCAACCTTTCAAGACATTTTTTGGGAAGGGAAACATAAGTCTTTGAGTTTCGACAATTCACGAACAGCACCGAAAAAGGTCAAGAAAGCAAGCAAAGAATGAAGTTAATAAAGGGAAAGTTCGAATACATAGAGAAAAAGTATATAGCTTGAGATTTAGACTATGTTAAATTGTGTTACAACACAGAAGGCTTGCTGAATACGATCCTCGCGAAGGCCAGAACTAACAGGTAGAAGAAAGGTAACATAGAAATCGATAACATTAGATCAGAAGTATCCACACTATTATTTAACTAATATTTAACATGTCTGTACTTCTCATTAAGTTGATTTGCTCGACTAATGGGCCGTCAAGTTTTTTCTCAGTATTTTTAGTTCACTAGTATTTCTGATAATGTTAATAAGTGATAACTTAAATCCACGCAATTTCATGAGACTGTGCGCATATTTCTCTGATTCTATTAATCTAGTCATATCACAGACAATGTAGCACCCTACAAAATGTATTTATACACTACCGGCAAGGAATTTATACCAGAACCAACAGGAAAATCAACGAAAGGAAAAGAAAAAAACTGACAGTAAAAGAAATAAGAAACTAAGAAAACTGTTCAAATACTTTCTTATGAATCACATAAGATTATTAACAAGGTTATTCAACACAAAATTACAAATTTGCATTAGTTTATTTCAATTTGGTTCACCCTAAGTTCATTTTAGGAATAAGTTCCCTCGGCGACACATGTACCTTGATAGTTTTCGTCCCGTTCCATCAGTTTTAGTCGGCTAACAAGACTTTTTTCAAGAGATAGGACATGATGTAGTAACTTGTATAATCATTACAAAGCTAAGTATATTATTCGAAATCGCTACCTTAAATATTCGCAGTTTGGTCAACCAGTCAGTCAGCTACACTGCAGGATCAGGCACATATATGCATCTGTGCAAATTGCCACACCTCATTAGCACAACAAGATGAACATCAAATTCATAGAGACAGTTACTTCAATGATAGTAATATATAAGAGAAAGATTGCGAATAAAGATATAATACAAGAACAAAGAATTAGTTCGTAGAAAGAAAGGTATAAAGTGATTTTAATCTAATGGTTTGATGCACATTTGACAAAAGATGAGTTGAGAATCCGGGAAATATCACTACCGATGGATGCTACCTTCAAACTTCTTGTATCTAGTAAGTACTGTATTTCACGAATCCCTTCAACCAGTTCTTTCATGGCTATGTTTGGTTTGATTTCATATACTGGTCATTTAACATATGAATTTCACCATTCTGACATGGAAGTTGTACGGGAAGCAAGATTCCGGTACATTCCCAAGTCATATATAACGCCGGGATAGAACTAAGGACAGGCTATTATTGGGTTTGTTTCCAATATTCCGGAGTAATATGGATTATCCTAATAGGACATCCAGTGAAGCTTTCAGTAAACTAAGTTTTGGAATGTTAAGTTATGGTGTATACTGGGGAAAAATCATCTTTCAGGGGCGAACGGTAAAGAAATTGAAAATAAATTAATCCCAAACGTAAAAATAAACCGGTTCTCGAATCTGACACGACAAGAATGGATGGTGAGACACGAAAAGACTATCGGCCATGGGATTCTGTTCAGACATTTACAGTTAAGTTCGACTCTCAGATACAAATAATGGTACGATAGCCTGGTGTGAGTCGGTTGAAGGCTTGCTCCTGAGCAACATTAAATCACGTGTTTACTATATTCGTGAGCGTTGTAAAGTAGTAGACGGAATTGACGTTTGAAGATCACGTTCGATTCACCAAAAACTGCCTAAATACAATGAACGCGATGTTATCATCAAAATCAATCAAGCCTATAGTTTGTAACAGTTAAGTAACCAATTTGTGTAGAGACTAGAATGAAGACTTCACAATAAGGTAACTATACAAGATTTCAAAGAAGCAACAAATGATATGCTTTCACTGACATCCTATAGAATCCACAAATTCATTGGTGAATTACTAAAGACAGTAGATGAAGTCTTATTAGAATAAAAACGTATCAGTACATTGAAATAAAAAGAAAGAGAAAGTCACCTCAAACAACGTACTTACGAGCGTTACAAACAGAACTTTGAAAATTGTGGGAAAACTTGTCTAACATATGCACAATAAAAAACTATGCGAAAGATTATAAATTATACTTCTTATTAAAACAGATCTTATAAGAATATAAAAATCAATTACGCAGCACTGTATTTCAATGTACAATGGAAACATTTTCCAAAATTTGTTAGTTTATCTCTTTTAAACACAGCTAACACGTTTTGCAACTTCTGCCTTGACTCTTTGTTCGACAGTTTAGTCTCCTACGTATCAATCAGAAAAGCAATACTTCGATTCTCTATCATTTTAAAATATGTAGCAGTCTGATACTATCCAATTTTTAAGTTTTCTTCGATCTGTGAAGTAGAACCGTGAAATTAACGCGAATCCACAAACAAAAAAATGGAGAACAGACCAAAACGTATCAGTATGAGATGTTTTATGGAAACTTCTTTGAGAACATCACTACAAAGATATTGAAGATTGCACAGGTATTCAGTGCTTGACAACGCTTTTACCAGTAACACCTTCTAATATAACTCGTACCCACCAAGAGAAATCAAAAGACAGAATCGGGGAGATCAGAAGTTGTATTTGACGATTGCCGATATATCGGAATTATCGGATCTAATCTGGCTAGCGATTGCAGTAGCAGTTGAGCACGGCGTTCTCACACGTGATCTGGTGCGGATGCATGCCCGAGCGCCTTCAGCTAGGTGAGTCCACTAAAACATGTGGTCAGCATCCAATGTCAAAAACTTACAGAGCTATTTATTTTGGGGATTTATTTACCGCTACCGATCACTCCCTCCCCCCAGCATCTGGTCGTCTTTCCTTACTATAGGGGACCATGAAGTACAATATAGTAAGAAAAAGTACAATGAAAATTTCGGCTCCTCGTAAACATCATCGTTCTTTTCCAGCCGTCCTGGAAAAGAAAAAACAAAACGTAAGTGCATGTCTAAATACACTCGTACGAGCGTAAAGACACAATCCCGGCGAAAAAATTGAAAATAAAGTCCTGTACACGTAATATCGTTAAAAAAATGGATTTTTATGTTTTTTTGAACTATAAGTATATAAACATAATAAAATTGTTTTTGTAAATATTACATATGGTAAGAAGAAAAATCGAGATAATATAAAATGTCAAGTATTGCCTTACGCGCAATACTCGTTTAAATGTTCTGAAAATCTTACTCTTCTTCCAGAACGTGTCGTCTTAAGTTTATTTTCTGATAGTACTGAAGTATCTTCGTGTGTGATGCCTGTCGGTTGGGGTATTATAAGCGTCGGAGACGTGTTGTGCGATTGTACCGAAGGAAAATCGACGTGATTAGGATTTCCTTCAAAAATACGCTACTTTGAGGCCATCGATGCTGATGCTATCGTTTGTTCCGTTCTTATAGACTATATAGTACTTAGATTCACGTTGAAGAACTTTGAAAGGTCCTTCGTATGCTGATTCGAGAGATCGTCGATGTGAGTCTCGACGGACGAAAACGTGTGTACTATATCGTAAGTCAGGTTGAACGAAAACGTCAGTTGATTGTGGTCGAGTGGAAGCTGGTTTGACTGAACGCACAGCGTTTGTAAGCCTGTTCGTGTAGGAGGTTGGATCCATGCTCATTGAAGAGGGTGAAGGACGAACGAATTCTCCTGGAAGTCGAAGTGTCATTCCATGAGTGAGTTGAGCCGCAGTGTATCCAATGTCAGCTTTCACTGCATTGCGGATACCTAGTAAGGCGAGTGGAAGAGCGTCGGTCCACTGTGAAACGTTTGCAGCTGATAGTGAAGCTTTTAGTTGTCGGTGAAAACGTTCTACCAACCCGTTTGCTTGTGGGTGGTAGGTGGTCGTTCGGAAGCGAGTGATTCCTAAAAGTGTGGTCAGATGACGGAAAAGTTCAGATACAAATTGACGTCCGCGGTCTGTAGTGATGATTGAAGGGCAGTCGAAGTTTGCTACCCATCGCTCGACGAAGGCGCGAGCCACTGTTTCAACGGTGATGTCCTTGATAGGCCTTGCTTCTGGCCATTGAGTGAAACGGCCTACGCAGGTTAAGAGATAATAGTATCCATTTGAATCTTGTGAAGGTCCTACCAAATCCAGATGAACATGATCGAAACGAGCGTCGGAACTTTTGAAAGAGCCAAAGGGACATTTATTGTGTCTGATAACCATAAATTTTTGGCAGCTTGCACAGTAGCGTGCCCACTCCCTCACGTCTTTATTCATGCCAGGCCAGCAAAACCTTTCTGCTATAAGCTTGATGGTTGCACGAACGCCTGGATGAGAAAGCTTGTGCAATGTATTGAAGACATTGCGTCGGTAATGTTTTGGCACGATTGTGCGATTCCTGCCTGTCGATGTGTCACAAAGTAAGGTTTCCTTACCTGTTCCCATCTGTTTGATGCGTAGTTTGAGGGTTGTAGACGATAACTCGTGGTGAAGATCAGTGTCTTCTTTTTGAAGCTGGGCGAGTTTAAGAAGGTATATTCCTTGGAAACTGTTCAAGGAAGTTATGTGAGACAAGGCGTCTGCAACTACATTGTTTGCTCCAGAAATGTGTTGAATATCTTAAATAAATTGCGAAATGTAGTCCAGTTGTCGAGACTCATGAGGTAAGTACTTGTCTGAAGGGGAGCTTAACGAGAAAGTAAGGGGTTCATGGTCAGTAAAACGAGTGAGTTCACGGCCTTCGATATAATGTTGAAAAAACCGTACAGCACAATACATAACTAGGAGTTCCCTACCGGATGTGCTGTACCTCGATTCAGTATGTAGCAACCGTCTAGAGAGAAATGCCAATGTTGCCAGGAGTGGTTGACCTATTGTTGTAAGACTCCGACTGCTCAGTCGGATGCGTCTAATACGATAGTAATGGGTGCTTTAGTGTCTTGATGAGCAAGCATTGTTGCTTTCGCGATAATTTCCTTAATTGTGGAGAGTGCTTTTCGTGCAGTGTCGTCCAACTTAATGGATTTTGCATTTCCACGAAGTTGGACGGTAAGAGGTTTCATGAGTAACACGCGTTTCTGTATGAAACGTCTATAGAAACTTACGAGGCCGTTAAACGTTCGTAGTTGCTTGATCGTGGTCGGTTCTGGGTAATCCAGAATGGCCGCCACTTTGGTTCTAAGAGGTCGGATACCTTGAGCATCGATAGTGTGTCCCAGAAAGTCTAATGAGTCGGTTCCGATTTGACATTTCTGAATGTTTACAGTAATGCCATGTTTTGTAGTCGTTCGAAAACAAGATCCAGATGCTCGTAATGTGTTTCTCTGTCCGGACTTGCGATTAAACAGTCTCCAACATACGCATGTACGAAGCTGAGACCTCGAAAAACGTCGTCTATGAACCTTTGGAGGGTATGGGCGGCGTTTCTTAAACCGAAAGGCATTCGCAAAAATTCGTAGATTCTGAAGGGAGTTATGATAGCTGTTTTCTGTATGTCGTCAGTATCCATAGGGATTTGGTTTCACGCTTTGACCAAGTCGATTTTTGAAAATACAGTTGTACCTTTCAAGGTAGCTGTCAAATCGTGAATGTGAGGCAACGGGTAACGATCGGGAATGGTTTGAGCATTCAGTCGCCGATAGTTACCAGTTGGACGCCAATCGTTGCTGTCCTCTTTAGGGACCATGTGCAACGGAGATGCATATGGGCCACTTGACGGTCGTATGATCCCTAAGTCTATCACGTGGTCGAACTCGTTTTTCGCCAACCTTAGCTTTTCTGGGGCTAGTCGGCGTGCTTTAGAGAACACAGGTGGTCCTGTAGTCGTGATGTGATGTGTAACGCTGCTGGTTACACACGGCGACTTCAGTTTCGTTTGGAGTATCCCAAGATACTTATCGAGTAGTGGTTAATAAAATGGGTCTATCGTAT